GGGGGCCCTGGGCACCCTCAGGTTGGGGGATCCTCACTAAAGAGGGTGAATGGGAGAGAGAAGCCACCTGGGCAGACATGGGCTGGCAGGGGTCAACAACGGCTCCCTGTACCGCAGGTTCTGTGTGTTTGGGCTGGGCTCCCGAGCATACCCCCACTTCTGTGCCTTTGCCCGGGCAGTGGACACAAGGCTGGAGGAGCTGGGTGGGGAGCGCCTGTTGCAGCTGGGCCAAGGTGATGAGCTCTGTGGCCAGGAGGAGGCTTTCCGAGGCTGGGCCCAGGCAGCCTTCCAGGTGAGCTCCCCTGCACCCTGGTCAACCTCGTGTTCTGACTCTGACCAACCTGAGATGCCCCCTCCAGGCTTTTGTAGTTGCAACCTGAAATACTGAGACTGGAGGCTCACTGACTTCCTAATCTGGTTTTCCGGACCGGCCCTATTCCTTTCCAAATTTGCCTTCATTTTGCCACTCCATAGCCAGCCCTTCTGGGATCAGCCCCAAGTAGTGGACAATAGGTCCTAGCAACAGAGATGCCACACCAAGCTAGAGACACAGCAAAAAAGAAGAGGGCCTGCAGAAGGGTTCCTCAGACAGCCCCAAGCTGGCCCCAGGAGCGGGCGCAGAAAGGAATAAGGTCAGAGCACCAGGATGCCTACTCAAGGCAGGGCCCAGAGGATCTGTCAAGATGGAAGAAGGCAGGGCCCAGAGGATCTGTCAGCAGTCAGGGCTAAAGCTGAGGCCAGGAGGAACTCCAGGGAGCTGGAGACCAGCCCTGGTGCCTGGCCTGAAGGGCTGATCTGGACACAGAAGTATCCCCAGGAACTTCCTCGGGGCATCTTTATCACGCTGATACTTCTCACTTAGTGAGGGAGCCCCACAACTGTCCATCCATGTGGGTCTCAGTTTTAGCTAGTCTGGACCCAGTGCAAAAAAGAGGCCTCCTTTGGAGGTGGAGGCACCAGAGGGTTTGCTTGGAAGGATTGAGAAAAGAGAAATAGAAAGCAAGATCCAGAGAATATGGACTAAGGGAGATGGGGGAAGTTTCTGAGCAGGGTGAGCCCACACTTGAAGTTTATAACTGGTGATGCAGACGAATGAAGGCATCTGAGAGGCAGGAAGACGGGTTCACTGGGACGGTAGCAGTGGGGATCGGAAGGAAGGGAGAGGGCCAGGGGAGGAAGGAAGAGATATAAGGCTGCACACACTAGAAAAGAAACAGTAACAGCCTGTTTCCAGGGGAGCCCCAGATCTCAAGGCTGGAACAGCAAGCTGCTAGTCCACTTATCCCTGACCAGAAGCAGCCAAATAGAGCAGGCTCCCTACACCTCCTCCAGTAAGATAGCACCGGCCCTCTGCACACACTGTGCTAAGGGCTTTGCAGAAAGCATCTAAGATAGGGCTGGGGGTGTAGCTCAAGTGGAAAGTGCTTACCCAGCATGCACCAAGCCCCACGGTCAGCCCTTGGCACTACGAAACCCAAGTATGGTGGCACACTCTTGTAAGCCCAGCACTTGGGAAGTGGAGGCAGGAGGATCAGAAGTTCAAGGCCACCCTTTTTGCATAGCCAGCCTGGGCTACAAAAGACCCTGCCTCTAAAAATGGAAGTATCTTATTTAATGTTTTCTGGAACCCAGTGAGGGGTCAAGACGAGAAACTGAAACATGGAAGATGGCAGGTACCGAGAGAATCCAAACTCAGCTCTGAGTTCATAACTGCCTTCAACAGCGTGCTCCCAGGGACAGGGGATCAGTACTCATCAGACAAGCAGGTGTGACAAGTCAGGGTCCCTATGATAGTGGCCAAATGAGCTAGAAAATAAGGTGCTATAGTCAGCAACAGCCTCAGCCTCGGTCTTACAACTTCATCCTCCCTCACACCAATGTGGGTACCATCCCCACAGCTAGGAACTTGGGCTGCCCTGGCCTAGGAACCTGGGCTGCCCTGGCCTAGGAACTTGGGCTGCCCTGGCTGAGATGAGAGGAGACTGCCAGATGCTGGCAGGCCCAGCCCTACCTCCCTTAATACACTCCTCCCCCACTGAGGCTCCCTGGTGGCAAGCAGCCTTAGGTCCTCACCTACTCATCCCCCAGGCCGCCTGTGAAACCTTCTGTGTGGGAGAAGATGCCAAGGCTGCTGCCCGAGACATCTTCAGCCCCAAACGCAGCTGGAAGCGCCAGAGGTACCGACTGAGTACCCAGGCTGAGAGCCTGCAGTTACTACCAGGTACAACCCTGACCTTGATGAGTGTGTATGTGTGTGTGTGGGGGGGGGGGATCCTAGGATTCTCCCTCACAGGCTAGGAGACACTCACTTGCTCAGGCCCCTTTACCTTCTTGCTCCCCAGGGCTGACCCATGTGCATAGGCGGAAGATGTTCCAGGCTACGATCCTCTCTGTGGAGAACCTGCAGAGCAGCAAATCCACGTGAGGCTCACCCCATTCTCCTCATTATTAGGGTCCCTCCTCACTCACACCTACCACACTCCTTTCTCCCACATTCTTCCTGGCTCCTTGCCGTTCTCTGACCTCAGTACCTGCCTCCCTTTATACCCCAGCCGAGCCACAATCCTGGTGCGTCTGGACACTGGTGGCCAAGAGGGACTGCAGTATCAGCCCGGGGACCACATAGGTGTGTGCCCACCCAACCGACCTGGCCTAGTGGAGGCCCTGCTAAGCAGAGTGGAGGACCCTCCACCATCCACAGAGCCTGTGGCCGTGGAGCAGCTGGAGAAGGGCAGCCCTGGTGAGGACTGTGGGCTGGGGTGAGTGGGTAAGAGCCTGCCGCATCCCCTGACACAGGACCCCATGGCCCTCAGCGCTGACAGTGCTGCCACCCTGCTGCACACCTTGGTACTACCTGGACCTAGCTGCCACTCCAGCCAGGATGGCCTTGTTGCACGTGACCCTTTCCCAGAACCCACCAAGCACTCTAAAAGCCTCCTCCCATAGCCACCGCCTCCCCACAGTCTAATTTCTCTGTAGTTGGCCTATCTCCTTCCAAAACAATGCCTGGAGATGATAACGTATTGGGGTTAGGGCAGAGGAGATCAGACCAACCCAGTTCAGCCAGGGTTCCGCCAAACATACCAGGGCTGCACAGACAAGCACATGCCACAATTCAAGGACAAGTTTTCAAATAAGACATAGTAGTAACACATGGTCAGTCCCCCAAAAGTGAACAAAGTGAACTTTGGCTCAGACCACCCAGTCTCAGTGGTTCCCCGCCCTCAGAGCTCCCTATGCATCATTCCCAGGTGGCCCTCCCCCCGGCTGGGTGCGGGACCCCCGACTGCCCCCATGTACGCTGCGCCAGGCTCTCACCTTCTTCCTGGACATCACTTCCCCGCCCAGCCCTCGCCTCCTTCGACTGCTCAGCACCCTGGCAGAGGAGTCCAGCGAACAGCAGGAGCTAGAGGCCCTCAGCCAGGTGGGGGGGCATGCTGTGGGGGGCAGGGGCTAGACTAGAGGATGATAAATAAGCTAAGGGACCGAGGTGTGCCAGAGGATGCCCCCTCTTCATGTCAGGTCCTCCACACTTGCTTCTCCTGGCCAACATGCACTGGTATTTTAAGGCCTGTCTCCAGGCTGACTGATTCCTCTCTGGGTGCTCTGGGTCTTCAAGAGGGGTGTGTTGAAATAAACTGAAATGGGTGAATGCTAAGGAGGCTCAGCTAGGTAGGGGTCACTCTGGGAAGGACTGTGGGGTCCTCAGCTCAGCGTATCTGCCCCCAGGACCCCCGACGCTATGAAGAGTGGAAGTGGTTCCGCTGCCCCACACTGCTGGAGGTGCTGGAGCAGTTCCCGTCAGTGGCGCTGCCCGCCCCTCTGATCCTCAGCCAGCTGCCCCTGCTCCAGCCCCGGTACTACTCTGTCAGCTCAGCACCCAGTGCCCATCCAGGAGAGATCCATCTCACCGTGGCTGTGCTGGCGTACAGAACCCAGGGTGAGGCTGAGAGCTGGAAGAGCCTGGTCTTGGCAAGACTAAGACAGACCTCTGAATGGCCTCTCCTCCTAACCCCTAGATGGGCTGGGCCCTCTGCACTATGGTGTGTGTTCCACATGGCTGAGCCAACTCAAGGCAGGAGACCTGGTGCCCTGCTTCATCAGGGGGTAAGTGAGGCCTCTGGGGTAGGGCAGGGCAACTAGAAGGGATCGTCTGTGTCCAGACAGGGATGAGAAAGTGCTACATGCCTGGCAGGGACCAGTGAGGAATATAGAGGGAGGGGCGTGTCACACAGGATTAGCTGGTAATTGGGTCCTCCGAAGCATGGAGGGTCTATTAATACATCAAGAACAGTGAGTCTCTGGGGCGCTTCACAACTATGGCTGAGCTTTGGCCTCAATAACTTGGTGCAGAGTCCTGCTCCTGAAACCACAACTACCAGAAACAACACGGCTTAGCCAGGGGCCCTGCTGCTCTGTGAAAGTGTAGCCCCTGTATGCCTCGCTGTGTCCTTGGCGACAGACTATGTTAAAAGTCTAGGCTTCTGTCAGGCACGGTGGGTACAGACCTTTAATCCCAGCACTTGGAAGGCAGAGGCAAGCGAATTTCTGTGAGTTCGAGGCCAACCTTGTCTACAAAGTAAGTTCCAGACCATCCAGAACTGTACAGTGAGATCCCGCACCAAAACAACAAAACAAACAAAAAAACAAAACAAAACAAAAACCACCTCATTTGTCATTGGGCCTTAGGCTTTCCTGTCTATACAGCCAAAGGTTAGTTGGTATGTATAAGGTCATGGGTGAAGAAAAGCGGTCTTAATGGACTCTCTCTGGCTAGGGCTCCCTCCTTCCGGCTGCCACCTGATCCCAACTTGCCCTGCATCCTGGTGGGCCCAGGGACTGGCATTGCACCATTCCGGGGATTCTGGCAGGAGCGATTACATGACATTGAGATCAAAGGTGAGCCTGGGGCTAAGGGTGCACCTGGAAGTCAGAAGGGAGCCAAGGAGGAAAGGAGTGAGGCTGGAGGAAATGACCATAAAAGAAACTAGGACCAAAGGTGAAAAGAAACGTATTTAATGGGGTGGGGAGGGGAGAAAAGGGCTGGGGCCAGGTTGTTTGCCTTCCTGGTGGTCCCTCCGCGAATCATAGGTTCTGGAATGGACTGAGGGTAAAGAAGGAAGGGATAGGACAGGAATGCAGACAGAAGACAGCTCCAGGCAGATTCAGAATTACCTCAGAGCTCATCTAGGGCGACCCAGTCTAAAAACTGATGAGGTGTTCAGGTCAGGCACAGAGATGTCAATAAAAGAAGGTTGAGTGGGAGAGGATGGTTGGAAGTTTCGGAAGGTATGGGCTGAGCCATGGGCACAGAATTGAGTCGATAGAGCAGGTTCTAGCGGAGTTTCCCTCCTGATTCTTGCCTGAATGCCTGTTTTCTTCTGGAAATCAGAGGTGTGCGGGGTCTGGGTGAAAGCACCCCATTTGCCCCTGAAGAGCCATGATAGGGGTTGCTCCAACCCAAAAGGCTGGCCTGGAGGTGGCGTTGCCAAGGCTGCCCCAGAGAAAGGGCCCCCCCCAAACCGTCTTGTTTCTCACAGGGCTGCAACCCGCCCCCATGACTTTGGTGTTTGGCTGCCGATGCTCCCAACTCGACCATCTCTACCGGGATGAGGTACTGGATGCTCAGAAGCGCGGCGTGTTTGGACACATCCTCACCGCCTTTTCCAGGGATCCTGGTAGCCCTAAGGTACCACGGGGCCGGTGGTAGAGATGGCATGACCAGGCTTAGGCCGTCCCCAAGTCCCCACCAGTCCCAACTCCCCCAGGCCCAACTTCCCCCAAGGTACGCCCGAGGCCTGGGTGTTCTCACAGCAAGGCCTGCTTCTCGCTCCGCCCCCAGACCTACGTGCAGGACCTCCTGAGGACAGAGCTGGCCGCCGAGGTTCACCGCGTGCTGTGCCTCGAGCAAGGACACATGTTTGTCTGCGGCGATGTCACTATGGCAACCAGCGTCCTGCAGACGGTGCAGCGAATTCTGGCGACAGAGGGCGACATGGAGCTGGAGGAAGCCGGTGACGTCATCGGCGTGCTGCGGGTGCGAAGGGGCGGGCCGGGCTGGGTAGGGTAAGTCTACGCCGGCATCTCCTGTTAGGGTTCTGGTTCACTGAGCTCTTTTCCTCCCCTCAGGATCAGCAACGTTACCACGAGGACATTTTCGGGCTCACATTGCGCACCCAGGAGGTGACAAGCCGCATACGCACCCAGAGCTTTTCCTTGCAGGAGCGACAGCTGCGGGGCGCAGTGCCCTGGTCCTTCGACCCACCCGGCCCAGAAACCCCGGGTTCTTGACAATCTTCTTCCCCTTCTTCCAGTTCCCGGAGAAAGGGATTGTCTCACTCCGTTTGGCTGTCCAAAGCCAGCCACCCTCTCTCGAGAAAGCCTACAGCATCAGTCGCGAGACTGTGGACTTAAGAACTCTTTTCTCTCTCCAGTTCACCTGGACAGGGAGGGGTTCCTCCTAAATCTTGAAAGTTCCTCTGGCTGTGGTATTGAGGGCATCCTACTGCCCTCTTGGTATGCTTTTGACGGACTGTAGACTCCCTTTGTCCCTCTCTGGATTATCTTACCTTTAAAGTCTAAGTCATTCCAGTATTTATTGAAGATTTATCATAAAAGATCATGTCAGATGTAGTGAGATACCCAACCCAACTCTTGTGGATTGTAATGATTGAAAAAGAGACAAGTTCCATGCTTTAATGTGTACAGATGTGGGGATAGTAATTCTTTGACAGTGAGTCCTAGACACCTCTCTCTACGTGACCCAGTACTCCGAAAAAAGTTTGCAACCAGCCACAAACAGTTCTGTGGTTGAGTGAACAGGTGTAGCCCTCAGCTTCCAGGAGTGGGGCATGCCAGACATTCCCATGGCAAAGATGTGCAGCACAGCCACGAACAATCTCTACTTATTTCACACAGGATGAGGAGCCCCACCCACTTCCTCCGACATCACGGCAGTGCTGATGTCCAAAAACAGCAGCCCTCTCTAGTTTTTCCACTCACAAGTCTCCATATCCCCCGCCCCTAGTCCCACAGGAACTCAAGGGGGAGGCCAACAGGAACAACTTCCCTGCCTTTCAGGCTCTGTGCCTCACTGATCCCTAACACTGAGCCCGATCACTGCCTGGGCCCTGCCCTCCGCCTTGAGGGCACTGGGGTCCTTCTTCCCAGGCAACTACTCCACAGCAGCCAGTTGGGGCTAGTACCTTCTTATCCTCACGTGTGGGGCCCATCTCTGGCTCACAGTCATCTCCTACTCTTTGTTCTCTGGGGCAAGCTCCTCTTTGACTCCCAGATCATGACCAACTAAAATATTCTGGGCCTGCCATCTGGGGTGGAGGTGGGGCTCAAAAGACGACTCCATGTATCTTTCCATGCCACCCCATCCAATTTCCTGCAGCTAGAAAAGCCAGAACCTGTGGGAGGAAAAGGCTGTCAGCAAACATTCCAGGCACCTAGGTTCTAGAGAGACAGCCCCACCGTCCCAGATTCAACTAGTATCCCCATCCCTCCAAAACTGACCCCAAACTAGTTTCTTTATCCTTTCTTGACCCCCATGTGGGCAATACTGGCCTGAGGTGTCCTCAGTCAGTGCAAAGGGCCTGGTGGGGGCTCCTTCTGGGTGTCTGTGGTCTCCTGAAAGCCCCTTGGAAACAGATTCCGGGCCCTCTGGATACCCCACTGCTGTCTCGGGCTGGAAGCAGGACTGGAGCCTAGGGACAATGTCATTGGGTGAGCAGGGTCATGATGCTTAAGAAACACCAGGATCTTGCCTCTATCCCCTACCCTCCTCACCATCACTTGACCAAGATGGCTTCTCCTCATCTGGTGAGCCTGGCTGTGAAGGGCTGGACCAGGGCCTGGGTGGGGAGGAGGCCGAAGCGTCTCCCCATGGCTCCTGCTGCTGCTGTTGATGAAGCTAGATGGAAGGAGAAGAGTGGGGGACTCCCTCACGTGTGGGGGTGGGGAGCAAGGCCAAGCTCCTCGGCTGGGTACAGAGAGCTCATGGTTCCTGTTAAGTAGTCTTTAGATTCTGCCCCCCCCCCCGCCCCGTATTCATTTCACTCACCTTCCCATATTCCCTCTACATACCTGATGTAGGTAAATGGCGTGCAGGCTCATCTCAGCAGAAACAAGCTCTGGGAGCTGGGTCAGCTTCTGGCCCCCAGTGCCTCCTGGGGACACACAGCTAAAACAAGATTCCTAGTTAAGAGACATCTTCCTCACAGAGGAAGGCGGGCCAGGCTGCACCCCACTTTCCAAGTCCTCTCAGCACCCTAGCACCCTCTCTCAGAGAGTCAGCGCCAGTCCAGACTCCCCTGCATCTCAGGCCTCCACCTCTCACCTGGGGTCCTGGGCCATTCGTGAAATGGAGGCCAGGAGGCTGGCTGTGGCAGCAGCAGGGCAGGGGGTTGTAGGGCTAAGGTCCCTCTGGGGTGGGCGGGGATTCACCAAGAGGTTGGCCAGGAAGGCTTCCGGCTGAACAAAAGAGAGCCAAAGGCATGGGAGGGATAAGAGGAGAACCAAAGAAAGACAAGAGACATGAGAGGTTGAGCTGCCTACCGGGGTGACACACAAAGTCAGGAACGCCCAGGGAGAGATGGACAGCGGGAAGGGCAAAAGAGTAGGCAGGCCTGGAACTCACCAGAGGGGATGTGCAGTCACTGAGCACCCCTGGGGTCGGGGGGCTTCGTGTTGAGGTAGCACCCCAGGCAGCTGCATCTTGTTGTACCCGGCCCCGAAGGTGTCCAAGGAACTTAGAGCTATGCCCTGGTGGCCGCCATTGTGGATGTGCCAGGGAGAACCGCATTAAGGAGAGTTCAGTCTTTCCATCCTCTGCACGCTGAGAGAGTGAGGCTTCTGTCTGTCCCTCCGAGAGCCACTGCAAGGAAGAGTCCTTCTGGTGTTAGGGACACCAAGACTCAGGTAGGCAGGACAGGAAATACTGCCCCACGTTCCAGATGTAGGAAATCCAGGCTGTGATTGGGACTTGTTCAAGATCATCCAGGAGCAAGGTGGTGGAGCAGGACATGGGTGCTTAGTCTCAGATACAGCCAGGTTTGATGTTGCGCCCCACCCCACCCCCTGCATGCAGCCCTAGTTCCCAAGACAAGACAAGATAAGCCCACTCCTTACCCACTGACTACCTCCCTTTCTAGTGGGGGGTGGGGCAGTATTTGCCTCCATTTATCATCATCATCAAAATTTTTTTTTAAATGTACCAGCAACTCTGTAAAGGGCTCTGTAGACCTGATGTGCTTTGGTGAGGCAAGCCAAATGCCTGTCCAACGTAATTTTGTAAGGGCAGGGAAGAGCTCTAACCTGAGGGTGCCCATGGCGCTTCACATCCATTAGGGCAAAAGAACAGATGTCCCCGACACCAGCCACATCCACGGTGAAGTGACGAAAAAAGTCAATAATCTCCAGAGCACGGGGACGGAACCAGAAGAGCAGAAACAGAGGAGTGAGAAGTGGAGACAGGAGTTCTTCCAGGAGGGAGACCTAAGGAAGCAAGGGTGAGGCTGAGCAGGGATTATCAAGAGGACTCCCTAAGTGATCACCGCGGTCAAGAGCCTCCAGGAACACTCTGTAAGGTCGGAGGCTTTCAGCCACTCACTCCGAAGCCGCCTCGAGGACCCAGCCCCACACCCATGGGGCCCACAACTTCTCCCAGACTGATTATTTGGACAGGGCCTACTCCTGCAGCCCTCTGCAGGCCCGGGCACTCACTGCTCGGTACTGAAGCAGCTGCGCCATCTGCCAGTAAGAGCTGGCCCGAGCACCCGCCGCACCAGGCTCCTCCGGGAGGTAATGCATGTGTGCCAGGGCCGCCTGCAGCAGGAGCTGTGAGGGACGCCCCTGGCATTGCTCCTCTGGAATGAAGGACCTGGAGGGCAGGACATGGGTAAGGGATGCGGTTAGGAAGACCTGTAGGTAGGATGCCGGGCTATAAAGGGCTCTGATGGTGACAGAAGGGTTCGCTAAGGGAAAGGAAGCCTGCGCCCAGGTCAGAGAAAGGCCACACACCAATATCTCCTCCCTGGTATGTGCCATCGAACCTGGCCACTGTGGCTGTGACCCCGAGCGCCGTCATGGTGGTGAGCACGTGCTCCACGGCCAGCACATCCTCATCGTAGACGGTGAGCACCAGCAGCGCGGCAAAAAGCGCTCCGGAGAAGAAGACCAGTTGGCGGGCCAGCAGCGCGCGCAGGGGCGCAGGGGGCTCGGCGGCACGGAGGAAGGCGGCCGCGGGCCGGTAGGCGCGGGCCAGGCGCGCACGCAGTTCGTGCGGTAGCTCGTTGAAGTGGCGCAGCTGCAGGCGGGCCAGGAGGGACCAGCGGCGCGCCCCGAAGGCGCCGGGCTCGCGTCGCAGCAGCTCCACGTGGCTGTAGAAGGCGTACAGCACCTGCCAGGCCAGCACCAGCGGGCTCAGCGCCAAGTTCACGGCGGCCAGCAGCAGCACCGTGCGCCGCCAGCGTGCGGCCAGGACGCCCCGGAGGTCACTGCGCTTGTAAGCTTCGGGAAGCTCCCAGCCCCCGCGGAAGAGCGAGAAGGGACCGCGGAAGAGCAGCAAGTCCACGTTGAGCGCCAGGCCGCGGCTGAGGAAGGCTGCGCTGCCCCCCCAGGGCAGTGGGCAGCGAGCGGGCAGCAGGCCCTTGTTGGCCAGCGCCACCTGGTAGTTGGTGTAGCGCAGGATGCGGTGGTGGACGTCCAGTTCCGTCAGTGGCCTGGGCTGCACACACAGCCCACCGCTCCTCTGCAGCTCCAGGAGGCGGGACTGAACCTCAGCCCAGGGTACCGAGCTGAGCTCCTCCTGAGGAGAGGGGACAGGGGAGCCTAGGGACCTGTGTTCCCCTCCACAGAGACGCACAACCTCCATGACCCACTGAGCGGCCTGCAAACTCCAGCCCTGGTGGCCTCCCTCCCCACCTTGGCGGTCTGCCTTCTTCTAGCCCTTCTGCTAACAGAAGCACTTCTCCCTCTTCTTTCTGCCACTTCTCAGTGGTGCTGCTCATCACTGCCACTCCTGTAGCCATTAGTCATTTGCTTCCTGGTGACACCTCTTTAGTGAACTTCAAGGGTTGGGACCTGGCTTCCTTTTTTGAGCCCCCTGCAACCCCACATATAAGAAACTCTTCTCCTGTCTCACCGCTTCCTGAGCAAGCTCTGAGACATGGCGGCACTGTCCCACTCCAGGCCACTTTGTACCGTCACTGTCACTCGACCAGCTTTCACACACCCCTGCCCGTGTCTGTGTCTGGGGGAGGAGAGCGCTCCCACACTTCATTTGGAGAGACCCCTATGAGCCCCAAGCCTCACTTTAGCCCCATCTCCCCAGTCCAGATATTTCGGCAGGAGCAGCCCCCACAGCTCCTCCCGGCATCTTCCCCTCCCCTGGAGGAAAGAGGAAAGGAAGGGCAAGAGGAGACAAGGATGGGGTCGACAGCCCCAGCAGTGGCTGTGCCTGGTGCCTCCCTACGCCAAAGGCTCTTGACATCCCAGGGGAAGCAAGAAATGGGGACTGAAGACGGTATCTTAACAATAAACTTAGGGACAAAGCTAGAAGGACCATGACCAGGGGACAGTGAAGAGGTCAAGAGAGTGGCTTTCGTGTCAGGTACCCTAGAAAGCGCTATTTCAGGCAAGCAAGCCCATCTCCACTGCCTACAGGCACCCACGTTTGCCTCACTTCCTGCCCAGAGGCCTGATTGGCCTGACCTTCCTCATCCAATCAGGATGCTTCCTGCTCTAGAAAGCCTAGTGACAGCCCTTCCTCCAAACAGCCACTGTTTTTACCACCAGCATGTGACTGTCAGTCACCGTATGTGACCCATCTGAGTAAAGGAAGCTCCACAAGGGTCAGAGCCAAGCTTGCCAAGGGCCAGTGCCTCCAGACATTACTCAAGGCCCAGGGCAGGTGTCATTCAGCCTCCATCTTTCTTTCTGCTCTTCTCGGTTGGTCCTTCCATGTGTATGGCCCCACTCTCTCCTGTCCTCTGCCCATGCTGTCACTGCAGGCTTACTGGGGGAATGTGCAGGGCCTCCCTGTAAAACACCTGGATGTCCCAGTAGCTGAAGAGGTTGCAGACTGAACGAAGCAGCTGGAACAGCCAGAAGCCAGCAGCCAGGACTAGGAGGAAGACCAACAGAGGACTGTTGTGGATCCTGCAGGAGATTGGACAGGAAGGGTAACAAAAAGGTGGGAAACCCACAGAAAGAAAACGGTGGTAAACACCTGCAGGTCTCGGTGGGGCTCGGGGGAGAGGTCCTCAATGAGGCCTTCAAAGTGCTGCAAAGTCAACACTTTTCACAAACAACACTCATGCTGTCTGCTTTTTGTATTCTCATTATCCCATGGGTGTACAATGGAGTTTTCCAGAAGCTACAAGACAGGTGAAGGAAGATGTCACATCATACTGAGAGCCCATGTAATGTGCACTCATGCATTCCTAAGCTTTAAACTTGTCCTCATGGCTAGGGATGTGTCTGAGTGGTACAGTGCTTGCCCAGCATGCCGGAAGCCCTAGGTTTGCTCCCTGGCACTAAAAATAAACAGTTGTCCTCACCATTAATTTCTAATAAGGTAAATAGAAATGTGACTCATAATACAAGGCTCTTTGAAATTCTCAATCAACTTGGGCTATGTTTTCAAATATGCCAAGCACTTTAAGAGTTGATCCAGACCAAGGGGCATTACAGGGAGGTCCCCGTCTTCCATCCTTTTGTGAGCTTATTCCAGAAGCACCCACCAGACTGTCACTTACTTCTCTGCACACTGGGCTGAGGGTAGAATAGCATCTGACAAGGTCACTTTGCTGTGGAATGGTCCAGGTCTTGTATGGTTCTTTGGCTGGTTGTTGAAGAGAACGTTGTAATCCACACAGCGGAGGAGGAAGGTTGTGAAGGTGACAATGAAAATGAACTGTCTGAGAAGAGGGTACAGGGAGAGGGCCCTGATCAGGCTGAAGGGCAAGGTGGACTCAGCCAGGCAAACTGAGGCTCTATGTGGCCCCTCACCCTTCAGAGCCCCAAGACTAGAACGGAAAAGGAGAGCTGGGGCATAGCTCAGTTGGTAGAGTGTCTGCCTAGCATACATGAAGCCCTGGATTTGATCTCCAGACTACATAAACTAGGTACGGGAGTACACGCCTGTAATTTTAGCACTTGGGAGGTAGAGACAGGAGGAACAGGAATTCATGTCTAGCCTGGAATACATGAGACCCTGGCTCAAAAACAAAACAAAACACCTGCAAATAAGAAGAGAGGTCAGGCCGGGCGGTGGTGGCGCACGCCTTTAATCCCAGCACTCGGGAGGCAGAACCAGGCGGATCTCTGTGAGTTCGAGGCCAGCCTGGTCTCCAAAGCGAGTTCCAGGAAAGGCGCAAAGCTACACAGAGAAACCCTGTCTCGAAAAACCAAAAAAAAAAAAAAAAAAAAAAAAAAGAAGAGAGGTCAGAACTTAGGGACAGGACTGGCTTCTCACCCCAGCTGGAAGACATCCTCCAACAGGATACAGGCAAAACCATTCCGCTGGTGGTAGCTGTAGATGTGACAAGTTTGTCAAGAAATATACTTGTCTATGGACTCGTTCTGAAGAGACTTCCCCTACTCTCCCCTGATCCACAGTCCCCCACCATGTCCCTCTGCATGCTAGGCACAAAGGATATCTTGGTGAAGAAGCTGTCCAGGTTCTGGATGTGATGCCAGGAGCCTGGGTACAGAGAAACTGTGTCAGGACTTGGCACTGTCGCCCTGGTGATTAGTTCCTCTGTGTAAACCCAAACCTGCCCGGACCTCCAACCCACTCAATTTCCCAAATAGCCTCACACTTACCACGGAGTCCTTCAGGCACGTGAAGCAAGGGTTGATGGTCCTCCCCATGGAGGGGTGAGTCTTGGGACCCCTCAGGGTCACAGTCCTCGAGCCGTTCATAATCCTGCTCAGGGATCAGAGGACCTATCCGCAGCCCAGGATGGTCCTGGGGGCACCGGCAGGAGGGATGGGGAGTGACCGAGGCCAGGGGTGGGGTGGAGTGGGACCCCCAAGAGGGGGGAGCGGAAGTGGGTGTCATTGTGGGATGGGTCTGTGTTGGGGGTGTGGCTGGGGTGGGTGAGGCATTGGATGGAAGCTGAGAAGCCCCTGCCTCCTGAGTCACCGGGCAGGGGGACCCTGAGGCAGGAGGAAACAGTGAAGAGGAGCAGCTTCTTGTCCGAGGGACAGGGGACAGAGAGAAGACAGAGATCCTCCCTCCCCCAAGTCCCCGGCATGGAGAAGCAGACAGTGGCAGTGCCACAGGGAGCAGAGGCACTGAGCTGGGCCCCAAGTCTCCCCACCGCCCCCGCTGCCTCCTGCTCCCCCCCCCACCCCATTCGGCTCACCATCAGGCAGCAGCGTCTCCTGAGAGGTCGAAGGGACCGGGCTGCTGCTGTTTCCACAGAGGTCTGTGAAGCTGAGCAGAGACTACAACATGACGATGACAACAACAGGGCCAGGTGACTCAGGCTGGGCAGGCCTCAGGCGTGCCAGCCCTCTGCCACCTGCGTGATCACTCACACTTCTTGCAGGGCAACCTGGGGCCAAGGCCCAGGCTCCACGCCTGGGAGGGACCGCCGTTGGGGAGGCAGGGGTTCAAGAGCTCTTGGGACTAGAAGAGACACCTGTAATCTCTGCCGTCAGCCCTTGAGGGCACGAGTGGTAAAGAGACGGTAGATACGACAAAAATGACGAGCACAAAAGAGCAAAATCCCATCAGAGGGTCATAGAGTCTTGAGGCTGGGACGTGAAATCTCTCATTCCCTCCAGTCTCATTCCTTTCCCTCACACTCATGGGCACTGATCAACAGAGAATGACTTAAGACTACCTGCCCACTCACTCAGGACTTGGGAGGAGACCGAGGGTAGCAGGATTAGGAGTCTGAAGCCAGCCTGGGCTACACCTGACCCTATCTTTAAAAAAAAAAAAAAATGCATATTTCATTTCCCTGAGTGGAAAAAGAGAGAGACTTGACTTTGCCATCAGCTAGGAGGGAGCAACAGGAAGTAAAGGGAAGGAATCCTAGCCATCTTGGATCTGAGACCTGAGAAATCATTTAAGGGACTTAAAGTAGAAAAACTTGGTTTGGTTCCTTGCGAGTTCCATTATGTCTTCTTTATCCTCGGGTTCACCCTGATACACTCTCCCTCCAAGCCTGACCTGGTGTCAGGGGCCTCCTGAGAAGCATCAGCAAAGGAAGGTAGTAAGAGGTCCAGAACTTCGGAGAATGAGGTGGGCATGCGGGGATGGACTGGCTGAATGGAGTACCTTGTTGTTGTCTCACCAGGGAGGAGGAGGCCCAGGTGGCTGGTCTGATGGCTTGCCCAACGCCATTCCCAAGGTCCTGAGTCACCATGTGCCCTAACTGAAGCCCATGCCTGAGACGCTGACTTGGCTAGCAGGTGTCAGGGCCTCCAGGGCTTAGGCCAGTATCCTAGAAATGGAGAGGAACACAGAGCTTCCTAGAATGTTTCCTGGAGGAGCATGGAGGACATTCATGGAATTTCCCACATGTTTGGCCCAGGCTGCCCGATTTTCTTATTTTTCTGCCTTCTTTCTGGAAGAGGAATTGTCCCAATAGTTCATGACTGGGCAACAGCTCATGTGGCTGGGCAAGGTGCAGAACTATGAAAACCTTTTTACAAGTGACAAAATAGAATCGGAGGTGGGGGGGTGGGAGTGGAGATTCCTATGCTCTTTCTGAGGCCTCTAGAGAGATAAGTTAAGTGAGGTTTTAACCGGCACCTCTCTATGACATCACTCACACAGCATCCTTGATGATCCATACTTGTTTAGGATTATCTCTACACACACCCTGATTTCCTTAACCCAATCACAAACAAATTCTGGCTCATTGTTCCGTCCAGTTTCACTCTAAATTCCCATATCCACAGCATCCCTTTTCTTTCCTCAGCTCAAGTCATTTTGTATCTCAGAAGCACCACTAATAACAATGATACTAGTAACAACTAATAATGTTCACATGTCCAGGTGGATTACCAGAGAGCAGATGCGGGACAGACGCAGCGCTCCCTGGTGGCAGTGAATATCAGAGCGCTTTTCCCTGACGTCTGGAGAACAGGAAAGAGTCACAGCCACTCCCACCAAGAAGCCACAGCCCAGTGGAGGAGGCAGTTAAGAAAATAATTATATAGAAGGCTTGGTGACTCAAGCCTGTAATTCCAGCGCTGGGAAGGAAGGATGGAGAGTTCAAGACGAGCCTGGGCTACAAAGGGAATTTCAAGCTACCCAGAGCTATTTAGCAGGACTAGGTTGGAGGTAGTATGAGGGATGATTATCGCAAGAATAAGTGCCCCACAGGTGCACGCGCCTTTCGCTCTTGGGCTGGAATCTTAGGTCAGTGATTCTGACCTAAATGAGGAAGGAACCTGTGGGTTAGGTCTTAGGTTGCACCTTGATAAACTTTATGACCTCCATACTAATAATTCAAGATAATTGAGGGTCACTATCAGGACCAGTCGGGACGTTTTTCAATGCATGTGGCTTTAGTCTCCAAGAGTTGGAGACTAAAGTGGTGGCACATCACGTGCATGTAGGTTTTTGGTTTTGTCTTTTTTTAAACTCCCCAGTCTACTTTCGCTCATTCCTCCCCCCAGAACCAGCATCTACACTCCCTGAAGATGCCAGGGCACGTAGAGACTGTCAGGAATATCCCTAGGGAAACGGCTTGAAGCCAGAAGCGTCAGGACAGCCCCGAATATGAGAATGAACGTTGCACACCCTCTGACCGTCACCCGACCCTAGGGCATTGAACAAAAAGTAGCCAGAGTCGCTTCTGCTCGGTCCCGCCTCAGGCAACATTTTATCCAATCACAGCTTTGCGGCAAGACTGATGTGTTTTTCCTCCAACCACCGCCGAGGTACGAAGGGGTTGTCGGGATGGTGGCCATAGCTAACATGGAGTCCCCGGTAGCATGAGAGTGAGATTGCCGTTGCTAGTTGCTCCTGTCTTACTGCCTCATCATGTTGGTTCACTTATTTCGGGTCGGAATTCGGGGTGGTCCATTTCCAGGCTGGTCGCTACAATCCCTGCGCTTCCAGACGTTCTCGGCAGCCAGGTAAAAGAACGAGGGCTACTTAAAAGTGCGGGCCATTGACCAGCCGGCATCTCGCGGGGCCCGCCGGGAGGTGGAGTTCTGGGCTCGCGCGTGGCCTTCTGGGAGCTGTAGGCTATCTCGGAAGGAGTAGAATGTCACTCCCCAGGGAATTGACCTCCATTATTTATGGTGCAGTGTGGGTACCAGCAGGAGGCTCCGCAGGTCTGCACCTACTAGCGCAGAGGACGCTGCTGACTCCCAGCCGGTGGCCACACCCAGTCGGCACTGCCCATCAAGGGGCGCCACTCTTAGCCCGCGTCCGATCTCTGGAAATCCACCTCAGATCTGGACGTATCTGTAATTGGTATCCATAGACATTTACTATTGATGATGCTTCAGGATTAGCCGAAATTATTTTAAAGGATCAAAGGAGATTCCTTAGCTGGCGAGATGGTTCAGCGGGTAAAGAAAGGCACTTGCATCAAGCCTAAAGACCTAGGTTCGACTTGAGAACTCATTGGTAGGAGAAAGCAACTCCTGTAAATTATCCTTTAACTTCCATGACCCTAAACCCAATAAATAAATAAACACATACATTTAAAAAAAAAAAAGTTTAAGTAGTTCCTAACTGGGCTTAGTGGATCCCTGTGAATTCAAGGCCAGCCTGGTCTATAGCGAGCTCTAGGCCAGCCAGAGCTACATAAGTGAAATATCAGTAGCATTCAGGCTGAAGTAGGAAGGATGCTGGGAATTTGAAGCCAGCATGGGCTACAGAGTGAGTTCTGAGTCATTCCGGGCTACAGAGTGAACAAAATGAATCAAGAAGTGATTCTTAGAGCTGGATGCATTTGTCAGGAATCGAGTCAATCTGAAATGAGCCTCTAATCCCATTTTCTCAGGAGGCTGAGTCTAAATTCAGTACAGTAGAATGTATATCATACATTCTAAGTTCAAAGCCCTGGACAACTTTGTAAGATGCTGTGTCAAAATAAAGAGTAAAAGGGCCATTCATTCAGATGGCTCAGTAGGGAAAGATGTGCTACCAACATGACCCCCTGAGTTTGTCAGTCCTGGGACCCACACATGGAAGGCAAGAACTGACTCCTGCAAGTTGTCCTTTGATCTCCACTCACTCACTCAGGCACAGGCACACACAAATAAATTAAATGTAATAAATTTTGAAAATAAGGAGTAAAAATTGGACTGGGGACATGGCTCAGTGGTAGAACATTTTCTTGTCATGCCTGAACCATAGGCTCAATTCCTAGGGTGGAAAAAAAAATCTGATCTATTCTTGGTAAGATTAAAAAAATAAAAAATAAAAACTCCAACTCACTTTGGTCCAGAGAGAAAAATAGGTTGAAGCCAAGCAAGAATCCAGAGTCTGTTTTTGGGGAGTAGGGGTTTGTTTGTGTGGGGTTTTTTTTTTTTTTTTTTTTTTTTTTTTGGTCTTTTTATTTTTTTATTTATTTTTATTTATTTATTTATTTATTTATTTATTTATTTTTGGTTTTTCGAGACAGGGTTTCTCTGTGTAGCTTTGCGCCTTTCCTGGAACTCACTTGGTAGCCCAGGCTGGCCTCGAACTCACAGAGATCCGCCTGGCTCTGCCTCCCGAGTGCTGGGATTAAAGGCATGCGCCACCACCGCCTGGCTTGGTCTTTTTATTTTTAAAGACAAGGTTTCACTGTGAAGCTCTGGCTGGCCCCGGGCTCTCTATGTAGACTAGTTTGACCTTGAACTCACAGAGATCCACCTGCCTCTGCCTCCTGAGTGCTGGGATTGTAGGAATGCCCTGCTACCCAGAATCTGGAATTTAATTGTAAATATTCTACAAGAAGCAACTGTTTCCCTAAGAGGTCTAAAGGAAGATTGCCAAGGGTGGGTGACTATGTGGAAAGCCCATCTATTTGATGGAGGGAGGGCAGACACTAAGCTAGAAGTACCAGTGCTGGGAAGCTGTCCGCCGGTTGTTGGCAATCGCCATGCCTTCTTAGAGTCTTGGTTGGGAGATGAGAGTAGCTGGAAAGTAGCCATGGTAAATTATTAATGGTTTGAAAACAGCCTTTAGGAAAGAATGAGGGTGTTGATAATATTTAAACCATCAAGAGACACAAGGTAAAACCAAAAACAATGAATGTGTTCATTTCAATTCACAAAAGGGATTTAGCAGTCAGGGTCATTTTGAAAAGAATATAATAGAAACTGTCAGAACACATGTTTCAAAATTAAGACAAGTATTTTGTGAAACCTTTCTGCTTTGGCACACACACACACACACACACACACA